GACTAACTAAAATTTTTTACCAAGTGGCCTAAAACAATCGACACGCTTGTTCCTAAGATAGAAAATGTTTATAACCTTAAAATATGAGACTAATCAAGTCTTACTTGTAATGTTGCTTTTTATTGCAGCAATGTGTTCCTGAGACGGGAAAGGATAAGTTTCAGCTTTCTCGGGAACTGGTGAAACCCATGTTTTTCTTCAGATGCTATAAGGTGGGTGCTGAAAATTATTATGCTTGTAGTTAAAGGTACATCACATCTCTCTCTCCATATTTAAAAACCAAGGCTACAATCAAATGAGCTTGTGGATAAAATTATGCAGAAGCCTATTATTTAAAGCAGGCCATGGAACTTGACCTTGCTATTCTTTATCACCTTAACATTATCCATACACATAAGTATAAAAGTTCAGCAAAGTTCAGAAACACCAGCATATAAACAACTGCAGACAAAATTAAAATAATACAAAGACATATATTAGGGATGAATCTTCTGACATATCAGTTCACAAGGAACTTCAGTGACAATATAGCATATCAACACATTAGGGAATGCATGCAGGATGACAATCTTAGTGAAATAAAGTACAGGTAGCCCTCGATTTACGCCGGGGATGCGTTCCTGGACGAACCAGCATAAATTGAAACTCTTTTATAATGTAAATCAATGGGAAGTCAATGACATGTGTTCCCCAAACACTCACGAGTAATATAATGGCATTACATTTAAAGCTCCGAAATAACGCAAACAAAATAAAGGGAATTAAAAAAAATATATTTTATACAATTACAATCTGCAATTCGTTGGTAACAGCAACACTGGCCATGTAATCCTGGGGTCTCGGGTTCAATTCCCAGCGGTACCCGAATTTATAACTTGTGTTGGGCAAGGCCGTGGTCTAGGCAACACAGAGTTTTCCTCCGGGGGCTTCCCTGGTTTCTCCGTGGCATCCCAACAATCACTCCATTCACACACAGAAGGAGGAAATGGCAAACCACTTCTGGATCATCTGCCAAGAACGTATATGAACAAGTCCCAGTCCGAGAAAAGGATGGAAGGATCCTGTTCATATGGACCTGTCGTCAGACAGAACACTAAATAAATAAATAAATAATTTGTTGGTCCCTGTGATTATTTCATGTGATTGATGTGTACAGTTATCTCTGCTGTTATGCGATAGTTGCATTCACGTAAGACGTCGACCTATATAAAATCGCGTAGTAAAAATAACCCCGAGACCTCCGCAGAGATTAAATTAATCCCTTGAAAGTTTAAAGTGCCAGGAATGAAATTGTATAAGAGCAAACTCGCATATGCAAAAGTTTGCATTTCACAAACAGCTTTTACCGATTCATCAATCTCATTGGAGATAATTCGCGTTAACGAAACATACGTAATTGCAGAGATGACTGTATTTATAATTTTTATTCAAAATCAGTGATGTAAGAATTACGAGAAACATTGTAAAACGTTATAAATAACAGTAAATATACTTTTTCATTTTTTGAATTTCTGGTTTCAAAATTGGCGTTATTCTGAAACAGCGCAAATCGAGGGCTACCTGTACAACCACTGGCTAAGAGCAATAATGCTATAAAATCAACTGTTACATGGTCTGAGCACATATCAACATAAAGAATCACATATTTTGTTGTGGTAACTTCATCCAGCAAGGTCACTTGATCATGAGTGGACACAATATCATTAAAGTGGATCTTAAGGATATTATACAGTACAAAAACAAAAACAGTGTAACATAAAAGTATAGTGACAGTATAGTTAAAGTGATAATAAATTTCAGGACATAAGATACGTAATCAGGGATGTATGGAAAATATGACAACTTATCAGCCAAATGTTACAATGTGAGAATTCTGTTTTTGCAGCATAAGAAACTTGAAGCTTGCATCATGAAGGATGTGAGGGAGAGGTACACCCCTGGAGACGATATGGCAGCACCTGACGAGGATAATATCGGAAGTGGGGAATTGCGATCTTTGTCTTGGGCCAGCAGTAAGCCTGATTATGATGACATGGCTACAGCTGCATATGAGTTTCTTTATGGTGGGGAAAATTCTGATCTTGAAAACATCATGTAGAAACATCAAATTCAATATTTACTGACTGTGTTACTAAGGATATGATGAAAGAAACAAAGTTTTCATATTACTGGACTTGAAACAATTTCTACATTTCACATGTATGATGACAGTTTCCAGGGTAAGCAGTAATGTCAACATTCTATAATTTATCAGTGCCTTTAACATTTTTAAAGTTTGATACTCTTTTTACAGCTGAAAAATATTACACAATTCCTTAAAAGATTGAATTATTTCATTGTGGACAATAAAACAACTTAAATGTCATTAAAGATGGCTTAATGGAAATTTTAAAGTGTCATCAATTATAAGAATCTTAATTTCATACTGTATACTGAAACCCAACTATGCATTTGAACAAATCAGGGACCTAAATTTTTATAGAAAAGGGAGAAAAATATCAGAAATACAATATATAAATCCTCAAGAATACATTAATTTATTTTACAAGTTCAATAACTTTTTATTTCAGTTATATAATGACAAGAGAAATGTGACAACCAAATATTTTCAAAGTTAGCGTCATTTAGAAACTTCAAGCATAGTGAAGATGGTCAACATCATGGTGACATAAAACATTTCATCTCTTACTCTGCTACGGACCAACAATTGAAATATAGCCATTAGTCTTCAAGTAACCGGTATTATGTAAGAGTGAACCTGACAGTAGCAGGCTCTAGGCTTCCTTCTGGGTATTTGGCTGTATTGGGGAATAACCCATTGACACAGTAGTACTAGATGTGGGAATATACTGATATGTAGTAGATATCAGATCACAGACCTTGTTCGTGAGACAATTAACAAATTCTCACAGGATCTGTAGTTTCTGTGACAAACTGTCAGCAATGAAATGCCAGCAGAATTATGCCACTGTCTCACGAATGAACGTCCAGTTTTTATACTTTACTTTATGTACTTTCTAGTTTTGTGCAATAAAAAATGTAAAACAGTCCACAGTGAACTTGCTTTTTCTGCTTATATCTTCCAATAGCTTCAACTTCAAATGTCTGTAACTCCAACATCGAGAACAGGCAATTGATTACTCTTTATTTTCAACCTGCAATGAACTCTCCTGGATGTAGGTAAAGTACAGACTTTATGTCATGGAACGTCCTGTGACACTGTTATGTGTCCGTGTGTATGCGAGTGCTTCTCGGACACAGTTCTTTACCGCAATTCTCACTCAAATAGCATGGCCAAATCAAACTCACGTGAATTTGTGTTGTCACATGATCATCTACTTTCGTCTAAGCATGTAAAATAATTTAATGCAACTATATCAATGTTAACCTTACCAAAAATGTCACAGTATGTTTCTTCAATTTAATTTGAACATATTTCATCATGTAATTATAGACATAGAAAAATTTGCAGCAACAATTCTTGTCAGTGAAAAATAAAGTAATTATATGAATGAAGAAAACATACTTAAAACATTTCAATGTTGAAAATAGATATAGGTATTATTTCTTTTGCATTTTAAGTGTCATCAAATTGTAGTATGCATGAAATAATTATTTCACTTCCAGGTCAAGTTTATTTGGTTATAAATCACTTTGCTTTGTCATGGACTGTCATAGACATAGCAAGTACAACCACCTCCTTTTGAAACCGAGCGCATCTATTCATAAACCACACACCAAAATGATAAACATCTTGATCCTCACCTTTTCATTTACCCTGCTTTGTATAGCCAATGTAATTCATTAAGGACTACCAAACACAAATGAAACATATGTTTCATTATCTACATTTTAAATCTAAAGTAAATACCTGTATATTGCAAAAATCAAAACAAGCAAATAAGAATGAGGCATTAAAGAATTATATGGCATAATAACAGTTACAAATTTTCTCTTTCAGCGTATTAGTTCAATTGTCCAAAGACCTTTAATTTGTGATAGGAATAACAATAACAAAACTTGTAATCACTATATTTGTTTTGAAAACGACAATACATCCTTCTTAGTAATCAGTCATACTAAATTTTGTGTGTGTGTAAATATATGCACTTTTCTACATAAAACTGCATGCCTGTCTGGAAAAAGAAATAGAGTTTCCATGTTTCAATCACTGTCACAGAATTACAACCTTTCACAAGGCAATATGCCACTTTTACACTAATACACATTTCAATTGCATCGCAGCATGACCTTCATGCTCTCATCAATAAAGTTTAATAGTTGCTGTGATCACATCACACTTCAAAATTTGGAATCTTTTAATGCAGATTTGTGGCTCTTAGTTTTGTGTGAACCAAAAACAACTAGAATTTACTGAAAAAGAACATTTATTTTCTCACAAGAAGCAAGTTTTAACTTCATCTAAAAGAAAATATACTAACATGAAGAAAAGGAAGGATGATGAGTTCTTACTTGTTTGTTACAAATGTAACAAACTGAAACTGGAGTGTCGAATTTTTGATCAATTGAACTGCTGAACTAAAAGATCAGATGACTGAAGGGAACACTTACTTATCTATTTTCACATGAGTTTATCCTCCTTTGTATACAATACAGTACATCATGTTGTTAAATAATTTATTACATGTCTTAAAAGAGATGACAATTTTTCTTACTTCAATACCATTTAGTAACTTTGCTTACAAACTCTAATGTTCACCCAATGCATTGACAGATTCCATTTCGTACAGCTACATTTCACTCGAAACTCAAGAATTAGATGCCACATCACATGAACTAGGCCAATAAGAAAGTCATGACTTATGTCTTATGGGTCCACAAACCCCTGAAGGTAAGAGTGAGCAGCACGGACTGTCTTTCCAGTTCACATAACGCCTATGTATAGGACAGAGGTTCATACGAAGCCAAAGTTCTTGGTCTTGATGGCAAGCAGCAGCTTGTGACGAAGCACTGCACGACTGCTATACAATGGGATGTAGAGACGTGAGATGCAGGTGTTTGCTGTTGGCAGATGAGAATCGTCTGCGGGTCGGATTGTCACGCTTGGCATGGGCTGGAATCCATCCTCACTAGCAGGTAATGCAGGGGAGCCTGTCCAAAAATACACCTGGAAAACATAGAAGACACAAAAGGCAAAATGATGAATGTGTCTAAGCATGAAAGTGAAAGGCAACAATAGTAACCAAAGTCATTGTTGTGATAATGTGATCTCAGGAAACTTTTGTGAGTCAACTATGATGTTAGTTCCCACTGCTGAAACAATCTGTTCCAACAACGACCCTGAGGCATGTGGGTTGCCTAATTCCTAGGAAAACATGTGACAAATGGAGTTCTTCATTCACACTAGTGTGTAAACAACACCTGATGCTCTGAACAATGATTTTCCTAGCTGGTGGATCAGGAGAGGCGACTATTTTCACATACCACATTAAACAGCTTTGATGCAAACCTGTCTAAAAATAATTGTGATTGTGAAATTTGCAGTCTGTTGTTAACTAAAGAGTAAGTACATTACAGTACAGAAATGTTTTGTTTGCATGTCAGCTGAATAAATGTAGTAAATTTTTATATGTGCGTGTATTATAATGCATTACTGAGACAACATTCTTTCTTGGTCCAAACAGAACTGAGCTGTCTGGTGACAAATTTCAATAGCTGCCATAATCCTGTTTTTTAATGTTTCAACACTATGTTGACGTCCAACAGCTTCGTAATCTGCACTTTTTGTATTGTACTCACCAGATCTTGTCTCTCAATGTGAGACATTTTCTCTACTATGGACCACAGCCAACGTTTGAATTTCAAAAGACGTTCGCTTGATTCGCCTGATTCGTCATTAAAACTGGTATAAGAGATTAGAACAGCCACATTGATATCACCAACACCATTCAGTAACAGCCGCAAATCCTCCGCTGTAAGCCCATCCAACGAACCGGCTGGTAGGACATCAAATACACCTGTACGCAGTGCCTGCATCAAGCACAAGAAATGGGATGTCAGACAACATTTATATTCAGTTCTTTATATATAAGTACATATAATTTACAAACTGCAGTGCAATTTCAAAACATTTTCATGTTTAAAACTATAATCTCTAGAGTTGAGGGCACCAGAACAAGAGGAAGAGCTAGAAAGAGCTACTTGGATACTATTAGAGAAATAGGACAGGCAAAGGGGAAAAGTTTAACGCAGATGAAATTCTTAGCAAGGGATAGGAAGGAATGGAGGAGGTGGACCCAGCAATCAACCCTGATGCTATAAAGGTAAAAAGGGAGATGAGGAGGCAGAAGAAAAACTACAATCTAACAACACAGTGTCATTACAGAATGATTATTTACAGTAGAAAATGACAAGGACTTGTAAAAGGTGAAAGCAAGACTAAATCCAAAGGAAGAAATGATTTTGTGTTAATAAAAAAATGTTATATCAATCTATACGTCATTTGAGTTGGAGATTCTCACAGTGGCAAAGATGTTGATGCTGGTGTTCTGGATCGTAATGCCACATAAATCTGTCATATGACACCAAAGTTTAAACTGCTTTAGTCCAGCCACACAGATTTCAAAGACACTCATTTCTTGCTCTTTTATCTACATTATACAAAACATGCTTTCAAAATTTGTTTTCTTGCTGCCTATTTATGTGACCTTTTTTCTGTCTCCAATAACACTAAAACACCTCTGCTGTGTCTTTTAAGATGGTTTATAGGAGGTGATTAATTTTAAAACCCTACCTCAATGGCTTTTTCCTGTGCTTTAATCATGCGATACTCAGCATATTTTCGCACATAGTCATAAACGTTCTGTGCAGTGACCTCCATGTCACGACCACCAGATACAAGTTCCATGGTACCACCTCCTTCCTCTACACTCAAATCAATGCTGAAACAAACCAAACATATTACTGTGTGAAACTTATTATTATTTAGAAGAAAAAGTTACATCCTACAGCACAGGATTTTCAAATTGTCTCTCTTTGTGTTGAAAAACAAGATTTTATAAACTGATTGCCACTTGTTAACAAACATGAAGACAATTCTGAAACAGCCTTCAGTGCATTATTTTAAGTTACAATGACTGAAAAATTTACTTCAACTATTAGGTGATTCCATCTTAACAGTGGCAAACTTTAACAAAAATATGAGTTACTGCTTCTCAAGATATAAATTCAGTTTCCAGAATCTTTTGATATTTATAGCAATAAAGACAAAATTTAAGGCATTTATAATTTACAAATTTTCTAAAATTTCTCTGAGTACTGTTATTGAGAAACCATTTATTCTCAGAATATAAGTAAAGCCAATTACCCATCTATAATAGAGAAACTAGAAAAAATCACATCTAAAGGATGAATGCATTTCAAAACCAAAGCTATAAACTGATAGCTCAAAAAATTTATATGTTAAGATTCACATGGATATAACAGTAAGCCATTGGAAATGCAATGATTTTTGTATACAGAATATTTTAAAAGTTTCCTGCATGTCATCAGTATATGCTGCATCTTTTGCAATTATTATATTCTTAATTTTAGGAGTTTAGAAAAATTATAAACTAAATTACTATTGTTATGTTATTAAAACTTCTTGAATATGCTGGCACTGTTAACATAGGAAACATGTGAAATATCTCTTATAGCTGAGCTTCCCAAAACTAGTATGATCACTTTGTACTTTTTATTTTTGAGTAGAAGGAGATATTTCTGAATGAAAATAAATTTAGACTTACTGTCAGGTTACTATGGTATTGAAACAAGGAATGTGTCTTGTAACAAAACAGGAGTTGAGAGTTACAAACACCCTGAATTCAATAAAAACAGCATTGTCTACAAGCAATGTAATATTTGAAAACCATACCTGAAAGTGAGATCAAGTGCCGAGAAAAGGCTATTACTATCTTTAGTTTCTGCATCCACAACCAACTGCCGCAGACTCTCATATATGACTGGATCAAAAAATGCTAAGTCATGAAATCTAATAGGTCGACCAAGGATATACTTCATCACATGACGATTCAAGAAAATGGGGCATAATTCATTCTGCAGGAGACACAGACCAATCAACCTAAAACCAAATAAATAAACTCATACACATAAAGAAACATACACTGTGATCCTTCACTAGTGAACCGAGGCATTCAACAATAAAGCTGATCGCTGATGGTGATCAAATGTGAAAGTACTACCTCAGTCCTTGTAAAATCATATCAGATCACTTTTCAGACTGTAGTGAATTGTTCTTGAAATGTCTGATCAACACTGTACAAATGACAAGAGGGCATTTTAGAAGTACAGGTAACTCTTGGTTTATGAACGAGTTCCGTTCTAAGATGCTGTTTGTTATGTGTATCTTGCATTCCTGAGCTTTTACGATACGTAATGTATGTGTTAGCAGCCATTTTAAAGCGTTATAACCATGTACTAAACATTGAATGGTCTATACAATACGTTTTATTATAATGTATATATGCGTTATGGTTTATCGTATACGATACGTAACGTACGCCACATGGCGTGGCATGTAAACCAGCATTTTTTTACTGGCTAGATTAGTTTTATTAACCAAGAACAGTTATATAAAATATAATAATTTTCTGATAATTATTGTAATAAATACATTTTTTAAAAGTTTATTAATATAAATGTTACAATTATGTTCAATATACATTTGGCATTTCGTTTTATAAGGAACTCTATCTATTGGAGACTTTAAGAAATTTTGAATGAATTGTGACGTTTGTCATAGCAAATGTCCGTAAATTGAACGTTCGTAAACCGAGAGTTGCCTGTATGGGTATAGGTCAACACCATTAAAAAGCTGTATTCAGATATCAGTAACACAATTAGAGATGATGGGGAAGCATTGTTGATCAGCACTGGGTGAGCCAGAAGCTGTCCGATCAAATCAAACAGGAAATTAAGGAGCAGCTGCTGCCACCACCCCTCACTTCACTGTATGGCTTTTTCAAGAGACCTGACATTATGTAATTCTGTTTTATATGCTCCTGTTACTGTATCTCTCTTCGTTCCAAATACTCTCCTTAGCATTATACTCTACGACACACTCAATTCACATATTTCCTTTAGGACATTTTTTAAAAGTTTTCCAAATAAAAATTACTTTCTTTAAAGCAAAACCATAGAACTTATCAAAGATACAGGCATTTAATGTTCATCCTTCAGAAAGACATTAAATCATGTGTGCAAAACCCAGAGTTTAGTATCAGAAATACCAAAACATAGCTGAATCAGTACCTCCCAACATTCCGGAAAGCATTCAGCCTCTCAAAGCTAGCCTTTCCCTGGCGCGGAGAATAGAAACCTCTCTTGCCAGGACTATAGAACAAGGGTGAGTTGTCTTCGCTATCATCTGCAGGTTCTTCAGTTTCTGAACTTCTTGATGCTCCACTTCCAGATTTCTTCCCTCTTTCTGACAGGCTGAACACATCTAGATCTGAAACACACTCAAAATTCAGGAGCTCCGATAGTCTGTGAACTTCATTTAAACAAAAACATAAGTCAAATCTGTACTGGTAAAATGTAAGAAGATACATTCGGCTATTTTAATGACCTAGAACAATTCTGTGTGTTTGCAACAACTCAAGAATCACTTAAGAAATTATCATTAAATCTGATACCAGGGAGGTTTGCTACAATTTGTTGACACATTTCAATTTTGGTTCAGACTGGACAATTATCAAAATTTTACATGAAGACCTGTACAGTTTTTGTACACAGAAATGATTAGGAGGGGAATTTACAGCCATGCAACCACATGGGAGAACCCTAGGAATCCTGTGACTATGTCAAGACACAGTCAGGCACCACACACACCATGTCCATGGGGTCACTTTGAAATTTGTAATAAACTACCATACATTTATGCAAATAAAATAAAGCATGCAGACTGAGAACTGTAATGGTAAGCCAGATCATATTTTCATTTAAATTCAATACATATCTAGGAACTAAACATCCAGTTTTAAATCCATTCTAATAATCAAAGGATCTACTCTTTTACCTAGCAGTGCCTCAGATGCAAGCTCTTGTCCATGATTCAATATGAGCTCCATTGCCTCTTCAACTTTTTGTCGCAGAGCATCTTCTGAAGCTAGGAGCATCAGCAGCTGTGCTGGGGTCAATTCAAGGAGCATACCAGTAATTTTGTTGGCAAATGATGGACGCAGAAGCTGTACTTTTGGATACAACCGATCTCCAAGTTGTTGCTGGTGTAATGTAAGATGTTCATTGTGACCACTGTTTCCACCACTACCACCACCTGAGGAGTTATTACTGCTTTCAGCACCAGGTGGAGAAAAGGGGCGGGCATCGAAGGACAAAGAACGACGTGGCTCTCGACAGCGCTGTGATGAACGCTGGGCCTAAGGGCAATGAAAGGTAAATATTCACATAAACAGTTCAATAGGAATGTTTGAAAGCAATCTAAAGTATGCAGAGTGTGGCAGAAGGAAAGACTAGAAACAGTTTACAGTGCTGATTTGTTTGTTGTGGACTTGTACATGTGAAAGAAGATGGAATATAAAACCCTCTGATTATTCTGCAAATTATTATTGAAATGTATAATTAGATATTCTGTTTCAGTTGTTCTAATGCACAAACGTTATTTTTTACAAAAACAATTCTTGAAACACCTCTCTTCTATCAACGAGCTTGTAGTATGAGCTATTCCATCTTACTGCAACAAGAATGGAAATTAACTGCTTAATAATCTGGCATTTACAGATTCACTAAAGGAAAGGGGAAGGGTCAAATTACACACAGACATAAACTACATACCATTCACCAACAGTTTAAATGAGTGTAATGGGTTCTCATGGAAAACATGGGAACATATTCAGGTATCTTGTCTATTAAAATATCCACCAACATGGACTTGCCACTTCAGAAGTTGAAACTGTATATGTTAATAAGACTAATGTCCTTTTGTTTGAGCATTCACACTGCAGCACTTACGATGTGAAAAATATATGGGGAAGTATTTCTATATTTTGCAGGCTCTAGTGAAACTGCAGGTTCCATGAAAGGCATGGAATTTGACTAGCCATGCATTATCAACTTCCCAAAGAGGGCTTCATTCTACATGTTAATAATTTATTAAAATCAATGTTTTAAATTCAATTTGGTCAAAACTGTGATGGCCATCCTTCACTTTCAGGTAAACAGAGACGCACGCATTCTAGCCCCATTCAAGTTTCAAAACCATGTATCAATTGCATATTCCTTTAGCAGGCCCTTGCCCCAGCAAGACTTTTCATTTTTCTTGACATATCTATGTGTACGTGTGAGACATAGTTATACAGAATGTGACAAACTCATACTTGAACTGGCAAATTTAATATATTCCTATGAACTTTACAAGTTGGGATCTATAAGTTTTGCAACAGAAAACAAGTAATTTACATTACCTGAGCATGCCGACGTATGTTCTCCCTCTCACGTGTTCTTAATCTTTGCAGTACATTGTAGGGAGCATACTTGGTGCCAACCTGAGCTGCTTCCAAATTTGGTAACTTCTCATTGGCCAACAGTGCCTATAAAAAGATTACAGTATTACAAAAGAATAAAAAAGAAAACTTACAAATTTATGTCACATAAGACTATCCATACAAACAAACAAACATTTAAATGTTCTATGAATACTGAAAATGTCCATAAACAAATATGAATTTATGAAATTAAAAACTGTTAAATTAAAAAGAAATATATTTTACCCCTTTTCTGGCTCCTTTTTCAATGATATACAGATATAAGAACTAGAAACTTTCACAAGCTTCCTTCTGATAAGGCATGACATTTTGTTCTTTATGTAAAGGAAGCAGCAAATGAAATCCACATGTACATATTTTGCATGTCACCATCATGTTCCTACACACCTTACATTAAAGACACATATTCTAGGAACTCTGTAGGTCAAATAATGTATTCAACTGAATGGAAGGCTTGATTTTTCCTCAATTTCAGAGATAGGAAACAAAAGGACATCTTGAATATATATCAATGTTTTTGAACATTAAAAGCCTTTAGAAGAGCAATTTCCAAGTTCTTGTAATTACAACCATATCTTATGAGACACTACACTATATCATCAGAATAAGGCAATAAAAGCCGTAAGTTTGGCAGAAGTATCTCACACAAATAACTTCAATAAAATGCTATTTAAAATTTTGTTCATGCTATGTTTATTCATCCAAACTCACCTCAGCTATAGCAGTATAAAAACTTCGAGCAACCCCTGAGCCTTCACCAGGTTCATCCTTAAATGTGACTTTGACGCGATTGACAGCCAGTGGAGGTTGCGAACTTGAAGCTCTACGGTGATAATTGTTGTACTGTGTATTTAATTCCTTCATTGTTTGTATTATCAGTTGTGTTCTTTCCCTTTCAACCTGTAACATTTCACAAGTGATAATAATATTCTGTACAGAAACAAAAAGCAGTTAAATCAGTACATCAGGCTTTTAACATTTTTTCCTGAGTAAGCAGAAGTAAACTGCAACACCAAATATCACATTTAAATACTAATTCCCTCGTAGTAGAACCTGCAGGTCCAACACCAAAGCCTGCCACCAGACACGATCTTGAGCCAACTCCATCCATTTACCATCCTCATAGCCCACCTCTCTAAGATCCATCTTCATATTATCCTCCAATCTCCTTCCTGGTCTGCCCAGTGGTCTTTTCCCAGAAGGATTTTCCACCAAAAATCTGTATGCAACCCCCAAGAATGCTACATGTCCCACCCAACAAGTTCCTTTCGTATTCCAAACTCAATCAAAATGCCATACAGCACCTCTCTTCTGAGTCACATGCCTTCCTAAAGTCCACAAATAGTTGGTGTTCTGATCCATTATACTTCCACTTTTTCTCTAATATTTGTTGAATGCAAAATATCTGATCAAGAGTTGACCTATTATGGCGGAATCCAGATTGATCATCCCCCATAGTTTCATTCATAAATAGTGTTAACTGTGCCAGAAGAATATTGGATAATATTTTGTACGATGCTGAAAAAAAGAGATACCTCAGAAGTTACTGCACTCAGTTTTGTCACCTTGTTTTATGGATAGGGACAATTAATTCTTTCCACTGCAGTGGTAGTACTTGCTGGTTCCAAATCGAGACTACAAGTTTATGTATCTCTGAGGTAAGACATGAGGATGATCATAACACGGGACTTACAGTTTAACATGGGCTCTGAAACAAGGTAGAGGCCTGTAATACTTTGCTTTCAGTTTGTGAGCAGAAAATCTGCACACTGATTGATGTAACTGGCAATTAATTTGTTACTTATTTAAAGATGGTGTCAGTAATTCTGACTATACAGTGTTAGATGATAAATGAATAAAGAATTGGAAAAAATATGAAAGGGAGTGGTCATAGCCTAATGGGTAAACCATAATTATAAGGAATTTAATGACTGGCCTGAATGAATAACACTACAATAAAGAAAATAATAAAAATAAAAAACTTTCAATCACATATTGTAAAAAAGGATAAAATTACCTTTGCCAAAGTCAGGTCCCGCTGCTGGCCATTACGTAGTTTTTCCATTTCACGACGGAACTTAGCTTCCTTGACAGGAAACCCTCCCAGCTCAGACACAACAGAACCAGGCTCCAGTCCCACATCTTCCATGAAGACACGCCCAAATAGGTCTAGAGATAATCTCCATCGACCAAGAAGAAGATCATGAGATACTGACTGACCAATTGTAGGATGAGGCCTATAAAGAGAAACGGTCAGTGTAAGAAAGGCAGCATTACTTCTCCTCACTTACTCTAAGGTGCAGGAAATTCTTTGAAAAGTCAATTGTATACATTTCTTCTCCTCATTAACCAAAAAGGATTCTCTTCACTACAGTCAGAATCTACATGTCAAACAACTAGGACAGAAAACTGAATTTAATATGACCAAACTTTGCAAACTCTACAGACATACAAACAGTTTAAGGACAATTACTTTTATTGTACACTTAAGAATGAGAAAGAAAGAAAGTTTTTATATGAAAGTTGAGACAATATGTTGCAAACATCCCGATGAAAACAGTCCAACATTTCTGAGATTAATAAATTAAGTGTGAACAGTATTTCAACTACTGGCTAGGAACTGAACGGCATATGCTGTGTGCAAGATAATAGAAACAATCCTGCCTACTAATTTGTGGATACTGTTTCAAGTAAACAGAATCATCATCAAGTATTATCCACTGAGCCAATGATACATCCACATCAATAATTTTACCTAGGCTGATCATGTGTTCGACTTGTCTCAACAGTAACATGGGCAGAGATTTCATGACTTCCGCCAACACTGTCAAGTCCATGGCCATCACCATGCTGCCTGGAGTCTGTTGTTGGAACAACCAACACATCAGGTGCATCAGTGCGGTGAGAAGAAGCCTACAGTACACAAAATTATAGTGTTATTATTTTCAAGCAACTGAATATGGAATTTCACATAAATCTTGAAGCATGAATAACATAACTTTATACCTAAAGAAAAAAAGGTCAACGCAGCAACGGTTTGCAACAGGCATATTGTTACGCAGAAGAAGGAATAGTCAGCACAAAAGAAATAAACACTGATGTAAATAATGTGAGGAAAGAACACAAAATATTTATTTCTATTTAAAAAACTTTACTCTTGAAACATTTTAACCACAAGCATATTGTGTGATACAAACTGAAACTGAACCTTGGCTGACCTGAAGCCCTGAGTTCCACTTCTTTCACAATTTGTGGTGATGACAACTGGCAAATTTCACTTGACATCACATACCCAAAATGCCACCTCTCATTTAAATACAAAAAAATGTTTCTTTCTACCTCTGGAAACCCCCATCCCAAAAAAATCCACTGACAACCACTACTTTGTAGAGAAAGATATTTTTACACATCTACTGCTCTATATTACAAGAAAGCAGAGTGTTGAGCATTAAGCTTCTTACTTTGCCTTATGGCAAATGATGTTTGCGAATCTACTGCTCCCTCTTGTAAATTTGTATGTTTCCACAGCACTTTATGTTATCCAAATCAAATCCTCAAATATGATGAAAATCTACTTTACAAAAGGGTTTTAGATGGTACATGTGGTATTTAGTATTATGTGATGAATAACAGTACATAATTTTATGCCCATTCTTGCCTGTAAATAATGACATTACATTTATACACTGATTTTACAACCGATAACCACAGTTTCGTCTTACACTCGTAGTTGGCCCAGGACCAGCACGAACTATTACACTTTTGACAGGCGGTGTTGATACAGCTGTTGATAAAGGTGTAGCTGAAGGGGTCTGTTCTCCAAAGCAAGCAATTGCATTTGCAAGTGCAGCTGCCACTTTGCGAGGCGAAACAATGATTGGGGCTCGGTTCTGCTCCATCAATTTCCGACTCTCTTCAGACAAGGATGTGTCTGCTGGAAAAAGTGAGAATATATTAGTGTTACACAGCCATATCTCCATTATTCAGTATATGTATACCAGACAAATGCCATGTAAAGTAGGAACTAATATTACATTAGAAGTTGAATTCCCAGATAATAAAAAATTATAAACATTTATTCATGTAAAATGTACACACACACATAAATATATGCACCTTAATTTATATGCCATGAGATTCATATCAGAAATAAATGTAGGATACAAAAATCAGAACATGTGTACTTCATACTAAAGGGGTAAAAGAGACTTTTGTGCTTGTCACAGGTCATTAAGAAACTACAAAGAACATGGTAAAAGATTTATTTACAGCTCGATAAGTGGACACTACATCAATACTAATTTTTGATTCCTAATCTCCAATTTTCCAGAGCCAGCAATCATGACATGTCAACATTATTTAAAAGTCATTTGAAGAAAATATGACCCATCTAAAATTTAGTAAACAGGATGTTGAGGACAATTTTTTCAGAGTGTGATTAACTCAAGAGTTATTTTGCTGTATAGGAATATGTGCAGAAAGAAATATGACATAAAAGAGAATTGGCAAAACTTTGGAGGCAGTTGGCCAAATACTGTACAGAAGACAACATGTTATGCTGTAAGAACTGAGTTTATCACCTCATTTCTTTGTACGGAACTAAAAAGTTCACAATGAGTTAACACCAGCGTTAATATTTGTGACACTGTATTTTCCAGAAACATTCAGAAATATTTCTAAAGATGTTTATTTGAACATAAATGTTGCACACACAGCACTTTCTCTCAGTATTATGCCCATACTGTGTTTAATCCAAATTTAAATACTGCATGGATTGAGTCACATCAGGTAATGTTCTAACCCAGATGCTTCTTCAATGCAAGACACATACATGAACCAAACCTACTGGATGGAATGTTTCTACACACAGTGAAGAACTGATAGAACTAAAGTAAAGTTAATAAAAATGTCAAATTTAGAAAATACTTTTTAGTCTTTGTCCAACCTGGAATGAACATCAGTAATTACAGATATAACAGTGCATCACTGATTCATAACCAACATAAAATCTCTAAAACAGAACACGGACAGATGAACTCACCAGAAGCAGAAGAGGCTGCTGTGCTCCCACAAGCCAATTCCTGCAAACTTGTCGCTGTTTGAATATCAGCTGCACTTCCAGATGTTTGCATACCACTTGGGCCTGGTTTACTAAGGTCAGCTGGTCCTTCAGATACAATTATATCGGTCTGTGATGTTTTCCTTTCATTAAATGCCTGAGGTTTTACACTTGCAGCCAAGCGAGCAAATGGACCGCTTGAATCGGAATCTGAAACAAAATCTCCTGAATCTTCATTGTCAACTTCCATCTTGGTAACAGGTGCTGAATTAGTAATGGCTATAGCAGTAGCAGTAGCAGCAGCAGTAGTAGTAGTAGTAGTAGTAGTTGTTGCTGCTGCTGTTGTTGATGGTGGTGGCGGAGGTGGTGGCGGCGGCAGCAGTGGCTGCGGTTCCTTGCTGAATGATAGATCCTGAGGACCTTCCTCTGTTGTTGCTACCAGTGGTGCAGAGCTCATGTTAATATCTGGACTTGGATCATTCAATTTCATTTGTGCTGTTTCTTCTTCCTCAATCTCACGGAAGAGGTGGTCAAATGCATCAAAACTTGTCCTGTTGGATGGGGGGAAAATATGCTGCTTAATGTGCCAACAATAGTTGTTTTGTATGATCTGAAGCTTTCACGGCAACTAAGTATAATAAATTCTTCTCAGGCTACCAGCCATGTAAGGTGGTTTAATGAAGAAAACACATTATTCATTATGCCACCTTACAAGGCTGGTAGCCCGAGAAGAATTTATTATAATTGTTTTCACAGAAACTAGGAGATATACATAGCATATGCATACATAAATGTGAACACCAACCCAAATGTTTCCAAAATGGAAATGTTTTTGCTGTGTGGCAACACCAGAAGTTGGAGGGTGAAAAACAAGAATTCTTAGACTTGCCACTGAATAAATTGTATAAGAATGTAGTTAAACTAATAGACTACCTTCCTTTCATGTTTTCAAAGGATGAAGAGCAAAGAGAGATAGCTAGAACCTAAATTCATCATATACCCTTTTCATAAGATTAGACAGACAAGATTTAATATATATATATATATATATACCCTTTTATCTCCTATGTGAAGCATAGCTTCTTGGATGAGTGATCAGCCCATTGCAAGGCCTCTACCAAAGATGTGGGTGAGAAATGGCTGCTCAATTTTTCAAATGAAACGTCTTGTTCATGCTCATAAGGTTCTTTTATATGCCGTAATCTACGACAGGGGACCACCAGCTTTACTTCCCCTCTGAAGGAAGTCGTGCTATGGATTTTTATCACCCTTAAAAATCCATTGACCTCGGCCGGGTTTGAACCCACAAACCTTTGGTCCAGTGAAAAGCATGCTACCTCTAAACCACCGAGGGCAACTAGAACCTAAATTAATTTTAAATTAAACATCAGATAGCACCATACTATTAAAGACACTTAGAGGAAACAGCAGTAATATTTAGGTCATTCCTTATACATACAGCAAATACCTATTATTTTCCATACATGTATTACTTGGAAGGTTAAGGCATAGTATTAATTTTTAATTAAAAATGTACAGCTTATGTCCATCACTTTAACAGAACAGGTCACAATCAAGACAAATTCTTAATAATTATATTATTTGAAAGACCTAACTTCAGCTAAAGCCAAGAAACAAGAGAACAATAAAATGGGAAGAATTCTAACCATATAAAAAATCGTTAACTTTTACACCAAAATGAGCTCATGAAAATACAATATATAAGAAGAAAATAAATAGCAGAAAGTTCTAGAAAATGTTCTTTTAAGTTAAAGTACTTTGATAACAAATAGGATGCAAAGAATCACTCCTCAAGAACAGAGGAATTCTAAATGTCACACATTATTTACTGTGCTTTGCTGGAGATATAATATACCATGGTTTAAAAGTCTCACATTCAAAAACAAGTTAGAAAATGATAATTAAAACTTTAAAAATATACCTGTGAAATGGAATTTGTTCTTTATTCATGTTGGTATCTTCGGGAAGAGGTTTACTAGGGCTTGACTGGGGCTGTGGTTTGACAGTTGTTACTTCTGGAGTAGCTGATATATGTCTTTCTTCTGTGCCACTGTTGCTACTGGGTCCAGGTCCTAAGTGTGTGTTGCTAGCTGCATTCATGCATGGGCTTCCATTTGTATTATCTGCAGTTCTCATGGACAAACCTAGTCGGGTTGGCAAAACTTCTAGTGGATTGTATGTTCCTGGTGGACTTGTGCCTGTTAAACCAGGGTATTATAATTCAAATTATGGGAAGAAAGAATGAACATAGACACAATTAGAAGAATACAAATTATCAGACTTTTATGCAAGGTACAAATTTATATAACAAAAATTAAGACTGGGAACAATATCATCAACATTGTGCACCTTCAGTGTGTCAAAGGTATTTTTATACCAACATACAATGCTATCCATGGACAATTATTCATATTCATCCAGAAGGAAATGAAGATCAAGTACCCAACACATCCTTCATCTATTCTAAAATATGAAGAAACAAACAATTATATGTGAACAGTAATGTAAATAAGGTTTATTGTGTTTAAAATGTCTAGCCCCACACTTAATCACCACGTTAAAGCATCTTCCAGATAATCTAGTACACCTGATGTGCAGTAGAATGATTCTGAAAAAAACAATTTTAAGCGTCAAAAAGTCCTTTAGCAAAGTATTCTATAGTATTTTCTGAATCAGCAAACAACGAATAAAACTGAATAAAATAAAATAAAAGACAATAAAATGCTTCTTTTTGTAAACATAGATATAATATGATTGTTTTACTTCAGGGGCCCAATGAACTTGAGCAACAAGCATTAATTTACAATTGTGACCTTTCTTAACTCACTTAACAAACTACTATGTAAATTATGAAGCAGTTCAAATTTGATATTTCGAATTTTAATTGGTTCCTGATGCCTCTGCTGGCTGCAAACACATCCTAAGAATTATATTTTGCAGGAATGTGACAGTGGGATCAACTGCCTAATGTGGAAGTGCTAAGATTATTTACCGACATACTATGATAAAAATTCTGCATTAAATTTAAACTGCTACACTGCATAAGCAAGCAACTCATAAACCATTACACCATACCTGATGCTGGCACTGTAATTGGTTGTTTAGGCATCCCAAAGAGCTCCTCTCTTCTTGCATTGGGTTGTAACAAATGTGGTTGGTCTGCTAGAGGTAAAGCTTCAGACATAGGCGTGTCAAAGGGATCTGGTGGTGGACAACCCAAACACAAAGTAGAGTCTGAACGCTGAAGAAATGGATTCTTGCGTCCTTTCCCATTGGGACTAACGGCACTCATACTCAATACTCCAGTTCCAGGTCCAACAGTTTCCTGATCATCCACTGACTCAGTTTCCATCGCAACTGAGTGATTCAATTCATCATCACCCTCATCATTATCATTTTCATCCTAGGCAGAAAGATCCACTTACAACCATCTAAAGCCAAAGCTCATGCAAAAAATATTTAAACATTCAGTTCATACTACAAATAAAACAGGTTTGGCACCAATCTGCTCACGAGCATCCCTCTTTTGGGTAAAACCCATGCTTAAGGCGGTAATACAATTCCTGCTAAAATCACATTAGTCTAAAAATTTGGTTCTTCCTGCATATATCGAATACATTGCTAACAACTTCGAGAGTTTGACTTTTTAAAATATGCTTTTGCAATTTACTTTTGAATTCCATTTCTAAACTTTAAATATAGATAATAATTCACCGGACACTTCTCGAAGTATACTTGTGGACGAGGGAGCAACAAACGAGCTCCGTATCAAAGGCACAAGTTTAGTGCGCATAACGAGGGCGGGGCTTACCTCCGGCCATCACTCAGTCTTTGAGCTGTACCTCTTTCATGGTGGTGGGCAGTATGTGCGACACCGGTGGGCGGTAGGGAAATTTTACCATCACCAAAGATACAAAAGTGGGTGGTAGGTATAAAAAGGTTGACGACCCCTGGTCTAGAGGAATATAAGTGGTGAATACAGGAATTTTTCAGCTTAAACTGTTGTATTTTAAAAATAAAAACAACTTGCATCCATTTAATTGTCTCCTATTGCAAAAGTAAACTTCTTACATACCTTTAACTATATTCCTATGTTGCAACATGCAAATGCACTGGTACAAAATAAAAAAGTTAAGAAATTTTCACTGGATCAGATGCTGGAAAGGTTTTACCAATTTCAAAAAAAAAGTTAAATTTTGGACTTACATAGTTTTTCCAATAAACCCCCTAATTAATACGTTCAGTCACAGAAAGAATTATCTCATCTGGAAAACTCTTCAATTTAGAGAAAATTACATTAGATATTCTAAACAATTCATGCATGTTAAGGATACTGGTTTTAAAGAGAGTTGTGAAAACCAACAATTAAAAAAAATTGCATTAACTTTCCCTCTTGAACATAATCTTCATAAATACAAGAAACAGAAATTGAAGAACTTTTTTACCTGATCATTCCAAGACTCCATTGGTAGCCCATCACGAAGTACATCAGCGTCAGGACTTTCTGTACCAGACCGCATGTAGTAGATTAAAGCATCAAATACATATGCAATGTGCTTCAAAGCAGACACATCAAGTATTGGCAGACTATCAAGATGTTCTGCATTATGTGCTCGCATCAGAGACAGGCAATATGATAGGAAATCTCTTCGTGCAGAGTGTGGATCTGCAGCTATAATAACGGAAATAATAATAATGACAACAAAAATGATTATAACAATGACAGAAATATAGTCAGGACTTAAAAGACAAAATTCAGAAAAGTAAGCTTTTGAATTCGACTAGGAACTCTCCATTCTTAAACTACTGCAATGAATTTCAAACAACACCGTCATTTATTCTCACCTTCTCTCTCCCGAGCAGTCCTTGGCGCATCCACACCTCCAGTTGCAAACCCAACAATTCTTGTGCCAGTTGTAGTGGCAGCAGAATTTGAAGACACTGCTCTATGGCCAGAACTCCTGGTGCCTCCAGTCACTGCTGTGGTCCCAGAAGAGCTAGATCCCCCTCCTAACACAGAGAGTGACAGGGCAGCAGAACCAAGAAGTCCTCCAAGTCCTCCTGCAACACCTAGTCCAAGACCCGCTGTCTGATGCAGTGGGTGACCTGGATGTGTTGGATCTGATGAATGTGTCAGAGAAGCACCAAATCGGAGCTGAGCTTCTGTTGAATCCATCACTGTTAGCAGCCAATCCCATGTGGGCTTGAGATGATACTCCAGGTATAACTGTGAGAATGTGTATCAAAACAGAGCATGCAGGACTGTTGAATTACAATGTAAGTGTAGCAATAAAGTCTTCATGGGTGATTGGCCATGTAAGTATGAAACTAACATCCAATGTTTTAGACTCTCTCTGACTCCACCATCAGGAGTTGATGTGATGAGTGACACATTTGTCTGCTGCATTTGCACCCACAGACAGCTCTCAGAGCTGTCCTTGTATGAGAGTGGGCAAACAGAACCGTGAGGAAGGTTATCACACAGTCCATGATGTTTAACCTGAATAATTCTTCTGCCCTATTGTGATGCAGTTTGCTAGTAGCCAGGTTACAGAATCAAGCTGACTTGGTACGTGCCACACATGAGAACATGGTGAAATGTTTGTTGGACAGATGGTTCACTCTTTTTCAATATGCCTGTTTAAACCAGACAAGGTGGCAGTGGTTGAACATGGTACTGTATAAACCTTAAGGAAACCACAGTACTGGCTACAATGGCAAACTACTGGGATCACACATAACCAGCCTAGCTTCCAGCAAACTGCAGCAAATTAAGAAGATAAAAAAAAATGGAAGGAACGATCAGCGATAGTTAGAATCCTAGATTGTTGAGGTTAAGCAACAAGGACTGTGATATGATTTACCACCAGACTCTGCCATATGTTCCACATTTGGCTGCTCCTGGGACAGGACACTGGACTTAAGAGTAATGAGATTACAGATACAAACACAACAAGCAAACATGTCACCGTTATATAAATCCCTAACAGAACATTGAATATTAACATGGCTGATCAACCACAGTCTTCATTGCATTCAGTCACTATGAAAGGCTATTTAGCTTACATATAATTTAAGTAGTACATAGAATATTACAATATGAAAGCAAGATTCCTAGACACAAAGTTTCCTAAGAGAAAGATAGAAAATAAACATTCAAGGTGTAGCACAACTGTTGACTTTAAAAACGTCGCAGTCTTTGATAATGTAACAACCCTACTGAAGCATTTTACACAAACAAGGTTCTATTATTGAGACAATATGAAGTTTTTAATGATGTACACAACACAATCCTATTTTTACAATTAGAAATACATATCATGGTAAACAGATTTTTGTTTTGGCTGAAAAAGATTAAACAAACAAGTGTAAACTTCAGACATTCTGCTTGGCAGCCTTAAATATACTATTCCATTAATAACAGATCTAAGAGCTACTTCTGTTTATAAATAATCTTTATTACATTTGACACATAAAGAAACTTTATTCCACATAGCAACTGTATGGTAAAGAGGTGGAAACTTCATAACTGGTAATTTCAGTGTCAAGATATCACATGAAATTACAGCACTTGCAATATATGATATAAATAACACAGTTTATATGTCCCATAAAGATACATGTTAAGCCTTCTTGCAACAAACTAAAACAACTGCTTCCTATCCATAACAGCGTTCAATGATTCATCTGAAATTCATTCATAACTTTATCCATTACCTAGCCTCAGTAATTTTATTTCATGATTGTCTGCAACTAAGTGTAATTCATGCCTTTTCTTAACAACTGTTCCTTTTCTTTAGAAACTTACAAGTACACATTTTATGAAGCAAAACAGTAACAGATAAACACATTTTCAAAATGATCCAAGGAATATTTAAGAAAACATATACACACCTGCAAATTAATGGATTCTTGATACGATATATCAAGTGTTCTTGGCAACGCAGGCGCAAGTGCATGATAGTCCTGAAGCATGGTGAGAAGATCTGCTATTTGACGCACAACAATACCAAAAGCTCTTGCCAAGCAACTTGCCGTTGTTGCCATAGTGACTGGCTCCTGGTTGGCTGCAGCAGCGGCAACAGCAGCGGTTGCAGTGGTCGAACGTCGCAGGGATGAAGGATCGATAAACACCAAGCTGCTTCCACCTGCAACACGCACACCTGCCACACTCTTGGCAGTCATCAGGCTGAATACAACAGTGCTCTTGCTACCATCAAGTTCTTCCAAGCAACAGTTGGAAGCCTTGTTCATGGAAACAGGAGACAGTAGTGGTTCATAAAGTACTTTCCTACACACCTGAGGCAAACACTGAGCTGAATGGTTCTGAATGGCTAACACTTGCTTCACTAAAGTACTTCATGAAAGCAAACCTGAATGTCATAAAAATTATTATTACTGCACTGCATTTTAAGATTTTACACCTTATATGGTTGGTATAAATAAAATAATAAACTAGATCCACAATAGTAAGGTGTAAAGGTAGAGAATGGATTCATTTAGCTTAGGGTAGGTTCCAATATCAGACACTTAAACACAGTAATGGACATTCAGGTTTAATAAAAGACAAGATCAACTGGTTAATGCTGTTTAAGGAAATAACTGCTGTTTACTCTGAGAATAAAACTGAACACACAAATACTAAATGGAGTGTTACTTACTATTAAAGTAGATGGTAGATATAGGTACCACTCACCCTTAAAGGGTTGTCTTCATACAATCCCGAATGGACTGTTTTCAGGACTGGGTCCATACCGTTAAGAAATCTTAACAGGCAGGGATATGATAACTTTGGCATACTGCATTTTCTCTGCTCATTTTACAGCAATTCTTGTTTATGTTAATTCACAACAATGCCCTAACCAGTTCATTATGGGGATTACAAATCAAACAATAACGTTTTTTTAAAAAAGACCCTGTCTGGAGTCATGTGAATCCTGTCTACAACTTCACACACCATTTATTTAAGACCAATTTTAAAAATCCTCCAAATATGTCTCCCTCATGGTCATTTCCTTCAGGTTTTCACACTAAAATTCATAATGCATTTCTGATTTATGCTATAAATGCAATGTCTTGCCAACCTCACACCAATTTTATAACTCAAAAAATATTTGGTAAAAGAAACGAAAGCTTGTCTTCATGCAATTTTCTACAGCTTCCCAGACATTTCCACTTCAGGTCCAAATAATCTACTTGGCAGCATGTTCTCAAACATCCTGAATCAATGTGAGTAGGTCATACCAACTTTAAGTTTTCTTTTCTAATCATTTACAGATAATTTCACCTTACCAAGACTTTTTCCCTTATTTAGTTCAAGTGTTTTCAAATTATATAATGTAATTAATAATAATTACAAACAACTCAAAATAAGAACAAGCTTTTTGCAATGTGTCAGGCAGGAGATTCTTAACAGATAAAATAAGGTAAATACAGCCATGGTGGAGCGTCCATGTTAAATGTGTTAGCCATGCTAGTATAGTGAAAACTTCAAAATATGGCAAATAAAGGTCTTCTTTTTTATTTTTGTGGTTCAATGGTACTCTATGCACTGGAACATAGTAGAACCAATCAGATAAAATAAATCATTAGTCAGCTCTAGCTAGGCATTGTTTAGCTAGCTAGCTGAGGCTTATAAGGCTAACATGGTTAATACAAATGCTCCACGCCTTAATATAACAGAAATGCCCAAGTAGCTTCCATACCTCCTGCTCTTGCCCCTGTTTCACGGTTGCGTATTGCCCACTGCATTGACTGTGGAGCCAGGTGATTACGGTGACCATGACCAGTACTCGAGCTGTGAAAATCAAATTAAATTTATATAAAAATAATCAGTTAAACAGTATGGCTCTGTGTAAAGTCAAACACAATACGAAGGAAGATGAAAGCCAACATTTATTATCTATTTAGATTCAGAAAAAATTAAAATATTTTTGTGGTGTGAAAGCTGATAACTCAAGAACAATTCAAAGGATTGATTTTAATAAAATCATATATTCGAGGTCTGTGCCCACCCATCCTGCTTGTTTTACACTATTTGTAATAGGGCATAAAATATTAGCATCCACAAACTGAAAATTCACAGGCAAGTACAGAGTGAATGGAGCAGCATTATTACAGTATGTGCATATTTCCTAACATGATTATTTGCAAAGCTGTCACAAAACACAGTTTCTTGTTATCATGCTGGCACCAGCCAAATTTTATTTATAATTGCAATTTTTCTCCTGGGTGTGTGAATAGAACAACCCTGTTGTTTTAACATTTTTCATTCTTCCATTATCAGTTATGTCTGTACATCATAACAATTGCATTTTATTCTGCTAGGAGACCTGTAGGTATCATTGTACTTTTGTACTATTAACAGTGCAATGGAAGGGAGGGGAGCCAATATCAATGCTGCAGAAGAAATGAGAATTCTAATGAAGAAGCTACAAACTATTATAACTTAATATGTTTGTTTTAATAATCACACTTACCTTCTGCGTTCCAGTTGCTCATCTGCTAGGGCAAATTCCTCTGTGTCCTGCTCATCAGTTTCACCTGCCTCAGACTCATCATCTTCTTGCTGGCTTGACTCTGCCGAATCATCCTCTGGGAACAGCAGCAGTGAGGCAATGCCTACACCGCACACATAACAGACTATTCACAGCCAACTGGCCAAGAGTAGACTGAATCCAGGATATGCCAATACCAGACAATGTTTTATTCTTATATTTTTAGAACTGTATGTATAAACTCAAATAAAGCTCTTGTAGCAACATTATTTAATAACGATAAAGAAAATAAAAACTAAAGAAAGTTTCAGAAAAAAGAGATATAGGC